AAATCAACCTTCCAAAAAGCTTATTTTTGAATATTAGTAAGAATTAAATATTTACTTCCAAGAAACCTTAAACTTTGTTAGTGTAAAATTAATGTAGATGATTGAATAAGTGTTCATGCGTGAGAAATTTGCCTCTTCAGTGTTGCTCATTTAACTATTGACTCCTACTATAAAATCCAAGTGCAAATAATGTCTCATCAATGACAGTTTGGAAAGGATTTGTTACTTCTTCCATGTCTTGTTGATGTATAATAGCATTTCTTCAGTATTCAGTTCTCTTGTGGAGGACCCCTTCATGCTTCTGTTTATGAGGTTTATATCTATTGGTACTTACTGTTTGAAATTGAAACTGAGAAATGTTAAAATATATAATTACTAGTAATAAACACAGATATAACATACTTTTATGAAACAATATCTATGGTACCCAGAACAACAATATTTTAGTGAAAAGCGACTTTACATTTGTGCAAACCTGACGTCTGCTTTAACTGGAAGGTGGCTGTATTTTCCTGTCTGTACTCAGTCTGTTGCAATGTCATGTAGCCTATAGAAACTAAATATAAACTCATGGGAGATGACTTAAAAGGTCAGTAATTATGAAAAATTTCATTATCATCAGCCTTTTGAGAAAGATTTGGGGATTCGTGGGATCCCAGGACCATATTTTTAAGGGTCATTGCATTATGACATTTTAGAAGTATATATGATTACTAAAACTTTTTAAAAATTTTATCCAGTAATATGTTCTACTTTCTATATGTATGAAATTAATACAAAGAACTTAGAAAATGGGGAATGAGCTGGGTTGAGCAGAGATTTAAATGTGTTTCTGAAGTTCTTTTAGTTGTGCTGTCAAACGACGATTTTTCTAGTGTTTCCTTATCCCCTGACCACAGACCTTTTCTGTGATCCCTCTTTTTTCCAAGCCACCGCATGAGTGATATACCTCCTCCCCCAAGATTCCAGTAGCTTAGAAAAAGAAAATGTTATGGATGAAAGGAATGTGTCCACAACCTTCCCCTGTTTCTCCAGCTGGGAAGGGAAGGAAAGGGAAATAAAATTTAATGAGCACTTTTAGTATGTGCCAGGTGCTTTACATATGTTAGTTCATTTTAATCCCCCAAATAGCCCTGCAGCATATTTGTAGCCACATTCTTGCAGAAATAAAGTGAGGCTCAGAAAGGTTAAATAATGTGTCCAGGGCACAAAACACTGAAGTGACAGAGCCTGATCCAAACAGCCTCTCTGTTTCCAAGGACCATACACATTGCTGAGCTCCTCGTTTGTGTTTTTTCTCCTGTTCTTGCAGGTTGAAACCATGAATATGAGCATTTTAGGGGTCTTTGTGTGACTTATGATGATAAAACAATTTGACTGCCCTGTGAGGTTTGTTCTTACAGGATTAACTTTTTCATACGTTATATTTTATAAAATCAAATAAACATTTTAAGACAATGTTTCTTATACTTTCTTCAGTTGTAGCTCTTCAAAACAAAACAGGAAAAAGATCAAGTTGTGATAAATCTATCTCTATATGTGTGTGTGTGTATATATATATAT